TTCGTCGTCGCTCTGTTAATACGTCATATGCTTCGTTGATCTGATTGGTTTATTTGGCCCGTCTATCACCAACATAGGCCAATCAGCTAACCAGTATTTTCACCCCTTCCCAAGGTGGAATTTTAAATCTCATTTTATTTGTTTACACAGCTATAAAACAAAAAGTATTCGTGAATTTTGTATTTTTTTTCTGGAAAGATGTAGAAATTTTAAAGAAAATAGAAAGGCGAGTGGATGAAACACCATGTGACTGTTTTGGCTATTTCTATAATCAGCTGGAGTCAGCTTCACTATGTGCTTAAAAAAATTAATAAAAATTCAATTGTTTTTTTGTACATGACTAAAGGGATAAACGGGTATTGACTGTGGGTGTGCTGAGCTGACAGAATGTACCGTCCATGTTTGCTTCTGTAAACTCGGAGCTCGCTGGCCTGTGACATCATTGCGTTCTCTACTGCTCATGCGGGACGCTTGCGTTGTACGAATGCAGTTCACACAGGAGATCATATCCAAGTCGCATATGTTTGCAAATGTGAACGGCAACGCAGCAAAAAATAAAAAAAAAAATCAGATTTGGAACCTCTGCCGTGTTTCTCCCGTTTTTAACCCGGGTCAGACTGGGTTTGTTGGTTCTGTGCTGCTTCTGCTGATGAGCTGAATGTTTCCCGCAGGGCAACGATGAGGAGGCCGTGTTGGACCAGGGCAAGACCAGCTCCACCCTGCACACCAACTTTGAGAAGGAGGAGCTGGAGAGTGAGTCTTTACCAACACACACACACACACACACACACACACACACACACAGAGCGGCGGTGCAGGGAGGGGCCTGCAGGCTGTGTGTTCAGCCCAAACACAGAGTAACAAAACGGGCCGGCTGTGTTTCCTCTGGGTTCAGTCATGCTGATCCACCTGGAGGAGACGTTTCTGAACCAGCATCGGGTCCCTGACTCCTGGTTTTCCTGGAAATTCCCATTTGATTGGATTAGCTCAGAAACTTCTGGACCCTTTGGGCTCGTCACTCTTTTCCACATCAGCTAAAAAGAGTTTAGTCTTTAATTCAATTCAGTTTATTTCTATAAAGCCAATTCACAACACATTTCATCTCAAGGCGCTCTCTTCATCCTCTGACATGGGAGCTGGCTCGGAGCTCGTCTGCCTGGCTGTGTGTTTCCTGGACGGGGCCGCCTGTGGAG